GGGGCGGGATGTTGGGAAGCAGAGTGAGGAGAGATAAATTTGGAAAAATCAAAGAGTGTGTCCAAGTAGGGCACCAACATGGGAGCTCATGGTGCCTGAGAAGGGCTGTTCTAGGCGCCCTAATAGTCGGCTGTTTCGCGGAGTAACGCACGGAGAGGGAAAGTGGGTCCTAAAGATCCTTATTTCAATTCTAGAATGTCAGAGCGGGAAGGAACCTTACAAAATAGGTCCTCTGAGGTTTCTAAACAATAGTCTTCAGACCCTTGCTGGTCTATGATGAAGTTTTCATCAGTCCTCGGCAAAACGAGAAAAGGACAGTATAATCAGTTAAAAAATGTTTTTTCATAAAACAAAATCTATTCCAATTTATTATCCTACAAGTATGATCTTCCTTCAATTTTGATGCTAAAAATTGTTTTATGAAGAGATGCTAATAGAGGACAGTGCTTGTTTTGATTAATACTCTTGCACATTAAAATAAAATTTGGAAATCTTATCATGGTCTTTTTTTGAATTTTACTAGTCTATGAAATCCAAAAGTCTGGGAATCATAGAATAGTCAAATCTCTCATTTTATAGCTAAGGCAGTTAAGGCTCAGAAGTAAGGACGAGTGGCCCAAGAAAACCCCCCAGTTTAGTTAGACGAGGCTGATGGGGGGAGTGTGTGGGACAACCCTCCAGCTGTCCCTTTTCTGCCTTGTATGGTCCTTAAGCAGGTTCTGCTCCACATCAGCACCTTCCAAGCAAATCAGATCCTATCTAGAGAAGTCTTTATCATCTAGATTCCAGCCCATTCTTCCAAGCACCCCCCAAATCATTGGCACCTGGCACCCTTTCTCCACCCCACCACTACTTTCTCCACCTCAATATCCCAGACCCTTAGTCCCACCCATTATCTACTTCTGATCTTTCTCTTTTACTTCAAAAATAGTTGGCTTTGGAGGAATTACTCAGATCCTGATACTGTTTCAAATCAATAATTATAGATTTTATTTTCCATTGTATTCATTGTATGTATCCATTCGTTCTTGTATCCATTATTTGTCTGTCTCTGCTTCTCCACCTAGGCTAGGAAGAGCAATAGTTACATTTTATCTTCCTTCTTCTAGTCACAGCACATTCTGCTATAATAGGTACTCAAATATACATGGACTTAATAATGAATAAATTAACACATTCTTTGCACAAGGAATGCTTTAATAATTCCAAAAATATAGAAACTTCTTCATTGTGGTCCTCTTGGTTTGCAATGTTGGGAACCCGGGGCATGGGCCTGGATGGGAACAAGGAGGAAGCCCTAGAAAACCGTTTATTCCTGGGGCTCTTGTCAGTTTTATTTGTAAATGGGAAGGGAAGAAAATAACATGGAGGCAAGAGGAGGAAGAAATGAAGAATTTCCAGGTGAGGAGAGGAGTTCTGGGTGACTCCACAGCAGGCCTGGCCCTGTCTCATCCCAGGTGACACCCTGTCATCCAGTAGGAGAGCGGCCGGCCTGAGCAGTGCAACTTCCATTCTACCCTGTGGAGAGAAAAAGATTGCGTCTTGCTTCCTACTTAGTAGCTGCTTCTCCACACACATGACCCAGCGCTTCGTGAGTCTTCTACACATAGCAACGCCCAGAATCCCCTTCATTCCCAGCTCTCTGGTCTGTGCTCCCGTGGCCTCTCTGATTCTTCCTTTAAATTTCCCTTATCTGTAGTGTTTGCCCTCTTTCCCCATTCAGTATGCTCCCACATTTTCAAATCCTCATCTCTCTCTGAAGGGGGAGAGCACTGTTTTACAGGGCTGAGAATTAGTGAAAAAAAAAAATCCCAAGTGCAACCATTGTCTCTCCCTCCAGAAAGCATCAGCCCTAATAGTCATCAATGTCCCATCTGTTGCATAGTGTTTTTAGAGTATGCAAGACACTTAACTCCTTCCATCCTCGCAGTCACCTGTAGAGGCAGCCATTTATACTATTTATCTATCCAGTTTGAAGCTCAGAAAAAGTAACCATCCCAACATCCACCATTGGTAAGCTGACGGCTTTGGGAGTGTCTGCCCAGCTAATGAGCAACACACTCTTTATAGAAAGTGTTGCTGCCAGTTATAGAGAGCAGGCCCCGGTGGCAGCCTTGATCGTATTGCTTAATTGCTCCTATGTCTACAGCTGATTGAGGCAAGCGGGGACACGAAGCTGGGGGTCCAAGTGGAACCAATCAGATTCTCTATCCCAGGCACGTGGACTGGTACGAGCTTAGCCAGTCTCTACAGTTGCTTGGGATGTTAGCCCATAAACTTGGGGCAGCCACGATCTTCCTGTGGACTGCAGAGGGAGTAGTGAAACAAATGCACCAAGAGAAGCAGAAACCTGCCAGGGAAAGCTGGCCGACAGTTTCCAGCCCTGCTTCCATTCTCTTCTAGCTGCACCCCTTGTGTGGGCTCAGCAGACACCTTGTCCCCTCAGAATAAATCTCCCTGAGCTAGCTCAAGTTGTTCTGTTACTGCAACCAAAAGAGTTTTGTTTAATACAATATAGAGAAGAACCAGCTCCCGGGTCTTCTAAGTCGGAGTTCCAAGCCCTGCCACTTTCCACACCGTCCTAGACTGTAGACAGGGTCTAGTCCTTGCCCATTGTCCCTTCCTCTGTCACCACAACTTGCTTGGGGCTCTGCCCACTAATGTAGCCCCTCAGTGTCCTCCTCACCAGTTCTTCATCCCCCCTGCACTGGACACGATCTTTTTTGCACAGTTGACGATTGAGAGAAGATTGGGGCTCAGCAACTCTGGAAGGGAGAACGAGAACAGCTGTGAGAGCACAGAGGACGGTCCCACTGTCTGAGGCAGACCCCGGCTCCCCTTGCACAGGGGCATGCCGCCCAGGGGCTGAGTACTTCCAGATTAGGCAGGGCCTCCCTTCCAGGGGCCCATTTACACATCACTACAGTGGCTGCTCGAGGTCGGGGGTGCGGGGTGGAGCAGAGGCAGGAGGACTGACATTTGGGTCCTGGCCAGAGTAGACGGTGTTTCACTCAGATGGTGGTTGACTGACTTTGGGGGTTTCTAGAGAAAGGAAATGCCCAAACAGGCAGCACAGAGACCAGGGTAAAGTCTTGCCTAATGAGGGAGGCACTTCAGGTGAAGCGCCCGGGAACAATACTCAGAGTACGATAGAGGTGAGGGGCAGAGTGATGGAGCTGTGGAGCCTCCTGGATCAGCTCTGAGGTGGGGAGTTTGCACTTGGCCTTTGGTCAGACCATTAGCTAAAGACAATACTACTTAGTGGTTAGAGCTGAGCCCTCAGGGCCACTAGTCTGGCATGCATCACTGGTTCTATGAGCCTCAGTTGGCTCATCTGTAAAGTGGGGATCACACTAGTTTCTACTGCAAGGAAAGTTGGATGAAATGAGCTCTGCGTGTAAAGTGCTTAGTGTATAATATGCTCTCAATAAACGTTGGCTGCTGCCGCTGCTCTGCTACTACCGGCTGTGCCGAGCCTTTCTGGATCCTGCTTGAGGACACTGCAGAATCTCCTAGCTGGATGGGCACTAGGGCCATTGGTCAAACCCTCTGCTCAGTAAAGGGATTCCCTGATTCCTTGAGCCATCCCTCTGGGGGCATTCCCAGGCTGTGGTGGGAAGAGAGGTCCTGTGAGTAGAGCCTGGGATCTCTCTCACCTCTCCCACCCTGGGGCCCGGGCCAGACCTTGACAGTCCACGTGGCAAATGTTTTCCGAGTGACTCTGGTGATCGTTGCACCAGTAGTGGCTGTTGATCTGGAAGATGCCATAGTCAAAGCTGCCATCTGTATTTTCATTTACCTTTGATATGTTGAAGTTGCTTTCCACAAAAGCCAGGCACAGCCCTTAGAACAGGGAGAAGAAGGGTTTTAGAGGGGGCCAACCTGAGGGAGAATGGAGATGGAGGAGAAATGGAGATGAAGAATTGGAAGAGAGGAACAAGGCCTCAGAGGCTAGAAGGGCTCGTGGGCTAGAAACACTCATTAGCTGCTCCTTTTCTCATCTTTTGGTCCATCCACCCACCCATCAGCACAACCACTCATCAGTCCCTCTGTCCATCCGTGCTTTCTGCACTTAATGATCATCTACTGTGTGCCAGGAACTGTGCAAAGCCCAGTGAGGGACATTTAACTGTGTCAAATGAAGGTGCTGCCTTCAAGGGGCCTATAGTCCTAGAATGAAGATATGTACCTAAAAAAACCACAAAGTGAGATAAAAGGAGAAAGTGTTGTAAAACAGGTGTGCACAAATTCTGGGCCAAAGGGCAACATCTCTAGCGTAGAGTAGGATGAAGTCTTTGAGCTGGCTGTTCCCTCTGCCTGGACTGCTCTTCCCCCAGACATTGGGTGACCAGGTCCTTTACTTCATTCAGCGCTGCTCAATGTCACCTCCTCAAAGAGGCCTTCCTTGACTTCCCCTTCTAGAACAGCGTCACCGATCACTCCCCCTGCTTTATTCTTCTGCAGTGCATTTATCACCAACAGGAAGTATGTCAATGCTTCAGTTGTGTGTGTGTTTATTGCTTGTCTCCCCCACCATGTGAACACTAGGAGGGAAGGGGCTGTGTTGATGTCTATATCCTCAGCACCGTGAATAGTTCCTGGTACACAATAAGTGCTCAGTTAACAATTGCTGAATGTATGTGGAATGTTGGGAAGGCTTCTTGGAGAGGGCTGCTTTTTGAACTTGGCTTTGAAAGACGAATGAGAGAGAAAGAAAGACGGTCGCGTAGGGCGCAACCTGGAGAGGGGGAGAAATGGGGCGGGGCGAATGGCACTCACAGTCGCTCAGGGAGTAGCCCTCAAACCCATCCAAGTCCTCCTCGTGCAGCGCCTTGGCCAGGTCGCAGCGGCTGATGAGGCTGGCCTGATGTACGGCGGCGAGGCAGCTGACCAAGGACATGAGCAGCGCCCTCGGCATCTTTGGAGGGGAGAAGGTGCGGCTGAGGGCCCGTGGTTCTCAGGGTCTCACAGACTTCCTGCTGGTCTTCTCCCAGAGCCTGAGGGATCTGGAGAGAGCAGCCAAAGGTCCTCGCTCACTCACTGCTCCCCATCTGGCTCTTTCCAGTCTTTCTCCTCTCATTCATTATTTTATAAGTACTTTGTTATTACAGGAAATCTTAAACATTTACAAAAGGAGAGAGAATAGCATCATGAACCTCCGTGTACCCATTGCCCAGCTTCATCGGTTAAAAACTAAGGCCAATCTCCTTTCATCTGTAGGTCTCTGCCCTCTTTCAAAGGTTGGCAAAGGGGATTAATAACCACGCTTCACCTGTATGTGTGTGTGTGTCCTCGGACAGGGCATGTGCTTTCAGAGGAAGGGCTATGACACTGGATGCTGATCTCCCCCCAACCCCGCACTCCCGGACACATGACACGTGACTTTCCCCAAGAGCATACTCTATCTTGTGCAATTCCTAGTGTGCTGGTTATAAGTTCTACCTTTTGTTTCCCCTTGAAGGTGCATATCGTAAAGCAGGTAAGAGTGTTCTAATTGTAGGAATAACCTTCACTTTCACATTTGTGTGTGTGTGTGTGTCTGTAGGGGAAGGAGTGAAGAACAAGGGCTCTGGATTCACACTGCATGCTTTCAAAGGCTGGGTTGCTGTGTGACCTTGGGCAACATACTTAACCTCTCTGGCCCTTATTTATAAAATGATATGTTAATACTTACTTAATAGGGTTGTCTTGATGATTAAAGGCAATAATAAATGCCCAGATCTTGGTTTCACATTTCCCCTGAATGGGAACCAGGACTCTTGGGAAAATGGCTGACTCTCAGGCTGGAATAGGAAAGGGTTTGAGGTAAGTCTGGATTATCTTGTTGTGCCAGAAAGTAAGCAACTGCTCAGAGTGTGGATTGGGGCGTGTCAAATGGACACGAGAGCCAGCGCAAAGGAGCACTCACTGGCCGAATCTGGAATAACATTTTTTTGGTAACAGCTCTACTGAGATATAATTCACAGTATGTAATTCATATGCCATACAATTAATTTATTTAAAGTGTACAATAGGTTTTTAGTGTATCTGCAGAACCACGCAACTGTCACCACAGTCAACTTTAGAACATTTTCATCAACCCCCAAAACAAACCCTGTACCCATTAGTAGTCACTCCCCATTCCCCCTCCCTCCAGCCTCTGGCAACCACTAATTTACTTTCTCTATATATAGATTTGCCTATTCTGAACATTTCATATAAATGGAGTCATACAATATGTGGCCTTTTGTGTCTAGCTTTTTCACTTAATATAATGTTTTCAAGGGCCATTCATGTTATAGCATGTATCAGTATTTCATTTCTTTATATGGCTGAACAATATTCTATCATATGGATATAGCACAATTTGTTTATGTATTCATCAGTTTACAGACATTTGGGTTGTTTCTACTTTTTGGCTATTATGAATAATGCTGCTATGAACATTCACATACAAGTTTTTGTGTGGACATATGTTTTCATGTCTTTGAGTATATACCAAGGAGTGCAATTGCTGGGTCATATGGTAACTTAAAGTTTAAACTTTTGAGGAACTGCCAGACTTCCAAAGTGGCTGCATCATTTTACATTCCCATCAGCAGTGCATGAAGATCCCAATTTCTCCACATCCTCACCAATACTTGTCATTATCTGTCTTTTTGATCAAAGCTATCCTAATGGCTGTGAGGTGGTATCACATTGTGGTTTTTATTTGCATTTCCCTGATGGCTAATGATGTTAAGCATCTTTTCATGTGCTCATTGGCCATTTGAATATCTTTGGAAAACGTCTATTCAGATCCTTTGCCATTTTTTAGTTGGGTTATTTGTCTTTTTATTATTGAGTTGTAGAAGTTCTTTATATATTCTAGATGTTAGAACCTTATCAGATACATGATTTGCAAATATTTTCTCACATTTCGTGGGTTGCCTTTCACTTTCTTGATGGTGTTCTTTAAAACACAAAAGTTTTAAATTTTGATGGAGACTGATTATATAGTTTTCCTTTGTTGCTTGTACTTTTGGTGTCGTATCTGAGAAACCATTGCATAATTTTCCAAGGTAATCTGGGGCAATTTCATAATCAAAATAAATAATGATAGTAGCAGATTATAATCCATTGAATGAGATAGGAATCCATGAGTCCATAATAGTAAAAACCAGATAAATAGGTACATAACGGGCATGAAGGAGTGAGCTCTTCCTGACAGTAAAATGCTGATCGATAGATGTGGAGGAATCAGGAAGTTGGAAAATCACCATTCTGCAACCATCCTAGATTGGTTTGAGCAAGAATCATCAATGGATGCTAAATCCGAGGTGGTGGGAAGCTTGATGGAGCACTGGGTATGTACATGGTCTTAAAGTGTCTCTCCGCAGATTGCATATTAGTTGCATGGGAAAAACAGCAACTATACAGTGGAGAAACCAGGCAGTATTTTGACCTTGCAATCAAAATTAAGGCCACCAATGAGGGACAGAGAGACATTACGTGCCTCCAGATGTATTATCCTGAGAAGGACTCACATCACTTATGGAGTATTCTGACAGGGATGCGCAACCTGTAGCTAATCCTGAGGAAACATCAGACACAGCCAAACTGAAGGAAAATCTATAAGATAACTGGCCTATATTCTTCAAAATGGTCAATGCCACGAAAACAAAGAATGGGCGATTTCTATCAGTAGGAGTGTGTGTGTGTGTGTGTGTGTGTGTGTGTGTGTGTATTTTTCCCCTTAAACTAGATGTATGTCCCTGAGGGCAAAGGCCTGGTGTCCTGCATCCACCGGCTTCATGAGTCAGGCAGCTTCTGCTTGAACAAGATGCCCACCTCGACGCCCTTGTTTCCTCACGGATCTGTTGTTCTATCTTCTGAGACTCCTCCATACCAGCCTGAGCTTGCCACCATGCTTTTGCTGCTCTCTCCCCCCCTAGAGTTGCCAGATTTAGCAAATAAAATTACAGGATGCTCAGTTATATTAGAATTTCAGACAAACAACAAAGAATTTTTTAGAGTAAGTACGTCTCATGCCCTGACTCACAAGGTTCCTCCAGAGACAGGTGTCACTGAACCTCGGGAAGCAGGGAGCTCTGTCTCTCCCATGAAGTCCCCTCTTGAGGTCTCCTTGAAGCAGACAGTGGTTCAGGCAGGTGCCTTTCCCCCACCCCTTCTGAAGCTTACCTCTCTCCTGTCCCGCTCTGACCCCAGGTCCCAGCCGGCCCAAGGATTTCTGTGAGAATCTGTAGAACAAAGCTGTTTGGGTAGGAGCCTCCTCTTCCTCATGAACTATACTCTAGTCCCGCGCAGCTCACAGCTCTCCATGTTCCAAAGAAGGTGGGAGTGCCGGGCCACCCCCGCCTTCTGGAACCCCAGTTCTGTGATGTCACCACTCTCCTGGAAATATGCTGGTCTTACCACACAAATTGGCTCAGTCTTGAGGCCTATCCAAGCTTCCGGCAGAAATGGTGGATGGGCCTGGAAGGACTGGTGACAACTGTGATGAGGACCACTAGGTGGGACAGGGTGGAGAATGCTGGTTGTTCTGTCTGCCCACCTCCCTTCCCTTCTGGGAACAGTACCACCTTTGGGGAAACTCTTTCCCCCATGGGGTTTTAGTGGGGGCTGCCAGTCACAAGGCCGTGCCCTCCAGGTTACAGGATGTGCCTAAGACCAAACCAATACATTTTGAACTGAAACTAACTGGAGCAGCTCAGCTTTTCACAGGAAGCCTTCCAGTGTGGGGCCAGAGGCCAGCAGTTTGAAATCATGTGGATATAGCCCATCTGAGAGGATAAGCCTCCTTGAAGAGGGAGCAGAGTCAGACAGGATTCCAGTCCCAGAGTCCACCGCTTATGAGGCCTAAACACACTCTCACACTTACTGCAATCCTGCGAGTCAATAAATGTCCCTTCTTGCGTAAACAAGTTTGAGTTGGGTGTCTGTCACTTGCGACCAAAAGAGACCTGCCTAGTAGAGTCGGCCTGGGGTTAACCATCTGTGGAATGGGGATCTGACAACCTGTCACTTCCCCACGAAGGCCACACATCTTAGTATCATTAGTCACCAAGGACGTCTGAGAGACATTTCACCAACCGTAGCAAAAGGAGGCAAGAGAAAGTTTTGTTACTGATGGCCTCTCTGCTCTCTGAGACGGGATGGCAGGGTCTGACAGAAAGAAAGTAGGAAGAGCTTTCTAAGTGGGCAGTGCTGCCCGGTACCCTCCACCTCTGGCCTTTTCTTCCCAGCAGGGCAGCAGCACATTGCATCTTGGGAGGTGAAGCCAGCGGGAGCCTGGGTGGAGGCAGAACCCTGGGAGGAGGGCATTCTTGGGGTACCACTTTATGAGGTACCGTTTGTGGCCAAAAATCTACAGGTGCCTCAGATGAACCAAATAAACTTGTCTGTACAGATTTAGAGCCCTGGGTGGGAGGAGAGGCTCCCACAGCCCAGGACCAAAGGCTGGAAATTTGGCCAGGGGAGGGTCTCCCTGAAGCTTAAAATCTTAGAGGGGATAATGTCAGCATTCAAAGGGGCAGAGAGGGACCCTCTACCCCCACCCCCACAGCTGTGACAGACGTGAGCCCTGCATGGATTCTTATCCATTCAAGGAACTGGAAGACCCAACCTGGGGTCTGTGAATAAATTCTGGATGCTGTAGCCTGGGGCGAGAAGGCAAATGGAGGCCACAGATCATCTGTCTAAATATTGACAAGTTATAAATCCAACTAACAAGCTGTTAAATAAAATATGTTCTATTCTCATATTCTGATAAATATTCCTTTAAAAAGATAAAATTTAAAAATGTGGATGAAGCTATGGTTTGTATCTGACTGAAAGTTAGCAAGATGTCAAAGATGACTGAATTCAATTTTTATTACACATGTCTGGGTGCTCTGTTAATGAGCTGACAATATTAGGATGAATAATAAATATATACATAATTCATAAATGATTATAATTAATCCATGAAATTTATTTTTCATATCTTCCTTTCAGCAAAATCACTAACTATGTTATTATTATCAAGATTTAAAAATGTATTTAAGGATTAACAAAAATTATATTCAAAGTGTAAGAATTTAAATATATCTTCATCAAAAATATAAATTTATATAAAAACTTTGAATTAAAATTTTCCGATATATTTTCCAAAAAGTTAGCTTTTTAAATATTGACACATATCTAATAATTCAAAAGGCAAAATAAAAATTAGAATTAACAAATACCAAATTTTTATACCAAAATTATTTACACAAATCCAAACATTTTATTCTACTCTTTGAAAGCTTAACTAAATTTTAAGTAACTTTTAATTTTAAAATTTAACTTAAATTGTATTTAAATTATAAATCTAATTTAAAATTTAAGTAACTTTTTTTTTGAGGAAGATTGGCCCTGTGCTAACATGTGTTGCCAATCTTCCTCTTTTTCTTTTTTCTCCCCAAAGCGCCAGTACCTAGTTGTGTATCATAGTTGTAGAGTTGTAGCTCTTCTATATGGGACGCCGCCTCAGCATGGCTTGATGGGCGGTGAGTAGGTCCGCACCTGGGATCCGAACCGGCGAACCCTGCCCTGCCTAAGTGGAATGCTCGAACTTAACCGCTACGTCCCCAGGCCCGCCCCTTAAGTAACTTTTTAAATAAAAATGTTAAACTTCTTAATTCTAGCAGTCAATATCCATCTCGTTGCCAATGTCAGGAATCAGCATCATGTTTTGTCTAAAGTCTAGACATATATACAAATTTAAGAGTAATATGTAATGTGATTTATGCAGTATTGCAAAAATTTCCTCA